GTATGCATGCATATAAGCATAACCAATGGACACAAGACACTGGGGGGTATGGGAGGCTAGGGGAAGGTCAAGGGGAGAAAAAAAAAGGAGACATATATAATACTCTTTGTAATACTTTAAGCAATAAAACAATTAAAAAAAGAAAAAGAAAAAAAAAGTTACTAGGCCTGTGGACAGGGATGAAACTGACAAACCTTATATACTAGTACTTCAGGGTACTTTGCCCTTGTCCAGGGCAGGAAAATGACTTTTTCTCTGAGAAGGGAGTTAAGAGGCTAAAAATAAACTCCACTCTGAAAGGGTATAAACCAGCTATGGAAAAGATTTCCGAAGTCTTTTGGCCAATGAAGCATTCTCCCCAGCCTAGTTTAGTGCTGAGGCTCTGTACCTAAATTCTAACAAAGAAACAGCTTTTGATGGTGACTAGAATTATCCATTTATGACATTCCACCCCATTTGTTGATCACTGATGGCAACTTTTAATGACCAATTGGTTCCCCTTTGTGCTTCTTCATCAATCAGCACATTCCCAAAGACTAATGATTTTGATTTTCAACCCAACTTAAACATATTCAGGCCCTGGCTGAGTAGCTCAGTTGGTAAGAGCATCATCCTGACACACCAAGGTTGTGGGTTTGATCCCCGGTCAGGGCACAGGAATCAACCAATGAATGCATAAATAAGTCGAACAACAGAACAACAAATCTCTCTTCTCTTCTCTTCTCTTCTCTTCTCTTCTCTTCTCTTCTCTTCTCTTCTCTTCTCTTCTCTTCTCTTCTCTTCTCTTCTCTTCTCTAGTCAATTAGAGCACAACTGTGACATTTAAAAAACACAACACCAGGGGGCAGGGGCGGGCTAGAAGAGGTCAATGGGGGAAAAAGGGGGACATATGTAATACTTTCAACAATAAAGAATTATTAAAAACATTTTTTAAAAAAGGCTAAATAAACTTGGGCTTAAAAACAGAACAATTGAAATGATTAAGAAAAACCTCTATAATTAAAAAAGATTAAAAAAAAACCAAACCCACAACACCATAATCAAAAACCCTACTGCTGCCAAGTGTCACCCCAAATCCCAAAGGTAAATATACATGATTGTGGGAGTGCCTATTGTTTTAGAGAATTCCTATGAAGCTCCTTACAGAAAAATGACATTAGTAAATCATATCACCACCAGCCCACTTTCCTATCAGTTTGGATGATGATATACTTACTAGAGGCCCGGTGCACGAAATTTGTGCACTGGGGGGGGGGTTACCTTCAGCCCAGTCTGTGCCCTCTCTCAGTCTGGTACCCCTGGCTCCTTACCACCCGCCTGCTTGCTGCTCCTTAGCAGAGGCAGGAGAGGCTCCCACCACCGCAGCTGAGCTCGCCAGACGTGAGCCCGGCTTCTGGCTGAGCGGCACTCCCCCTGTGGGAGCACACTGACTACCAGGGGGAAGCTCCTGTGTTGAGCATCTGCCCCCTGGTGGTCAGTGCGCATCATAGCGACCAGTCATTCTGGTCGTTCCACTGGAAAGGTTGCTTAGGCTTTTATTATATAGATATCAGCAGAGTAGAATTAAATTGTCAGATTCCTGAAGCAATTCTCCTGGACTTACTTGTGGAAATAGTGCTGAGTGAGAAGCATCATTGAACTCAGGGTCCAGGCTTTGGTTTAGTGACTTTGGCAGTCTGACCCCCCACTGAATCCCCTACTGCTTTTTATGCACCTCGGGGCCACCTCTCTGACCATTCTGCCTGGTCTCCAAGATCTTCTGTACTTTCCCAGAAAAGGGGCCTCTATATTCTCCTGCTCCATGGCGTCCTCTGCCTCATGGATCTGCACCTCTCAGGGTGTTGCCAACTCAGCAGGAGATTCCCTTTGGTGTGAGTTCATTTGCTTTATGGCAATTGAGTTATTACATTTCTAATCTGGAAGCAGCCTGAAATTAAGGTGCAAAAAACTGAATTTAGGAAACCAAAGAAATTTGGTGCAATTAAATTTCAGGTGTTGTCTAGATCTTCCTGGGATCAAGCCTGCTGTGTAGGGGACTCCTGTCCAATTAGCCATGGAAGATGCCTGTTGGAGCCAGGATCTAACAGATTGCTGAACTAAGACTTCATTCAATGCCATTCTCCAAGCTGAATCAATACCACTTGCTAGCTATGTGACCTTGGACAAGTTATTTAACCTCTTTGGGTCTCTATTTCCTCATATGTAAAATGGGGGCAATGATATTCCACAGTGTTAATGAGAAGTTTAGATGAGATATGATATGTGTAATACATGGTAGATGTTCAATGAATTTCAGTGCCCTAACCCTCTACATTCTAGATCAGTGGTTCTCAACCTTCCTAATGCCATGACCCTTTAATACAGTTCCTCATGTTGTGGTGACCCCCAACCATAAAATTATTTTCGTTGCTACTTCATAACTGTAATTTTGCTACTGTTATGAATCGTAATGTAAATATCTGATATGCAGGATGTATTTTCATTGTTACAAATTGAACATAATTAAAGCATAGTGATTCATCACAAAAACAATATGTAATTGGTCTTAGGCAACCCCTGTGAAAGGGTCGTTCGACCTCCAAAGGGGTCGCGACCCACAGGTTGAGAACCGCTGTTCTAGATGGAATCTATTCATCTGCTTCACCTCTTGCTTAGTAAACAGGATGAGGCTTGGGCAGGAATATCCCTCAGGGGCACCTCTAGGAAGGGTGTGGGGTAAATACTCTAGGAAATCACAGGGATTGTTCTCCCTCTTTTTCAGATCCTAGGTTACAATGGTGAGACCAAGAAATCCTCTGAATGCAGCTCCACTTAAGAGAATGCTTGCTAAAGATTTTTTTAAAAAAGAGAATGCTTGCAATGTTCATTTCTGAGACAAACCTATTAGTAGGCATGACCACGACTCCTTATTAATATAACCCAGCCCAGCCCAGCTGGCATGGCTCAGTGGTTGAGTGTCGACCTATGAACCAGGAGGTCACGGTTTAATTCCCGGTCAAGGTACACGCCTGGTTGCAGCCTCGATCCCCAGTGTGGGGCATGCAGGAGGCAGTCGATCAATGATTATCTTTCATCACTGATGTTTCTCTCTCTCTCTCCCTCTCTAAAATCAGTAAAAATATTTATTAAAAAAAGAAAAAAAGACAACAGTGTGCCCTGCATTGCCATAGGGCTAGGAACTTGGCTCACATCCCCTCTGCTATTGCTTAGGAGAATTTAAATTTCTCTGTCAATTGTTACCTCCTCTGTGTTTTATCCTTGATGCTTACAGATTATTTCTACTATAATTCATTAATTAAAATTCTCCTTTCCCTTAAGGCTTAGTTTTGCTACTTCAGGCTCATTGGTTTGTTTGTTGGCCTGAGAGCTGAAATAAGAATGTCCCAAACTAGAAGAGAGAGAAGTAGAGAGAGTGATTAAATCTGAGAATGGATTGGGATGTTTAAACAAAGTGCTAATAGGGTTGTGTCCTCCACTAGATTTTAATTCCTGAAGGCAGGGACTGTGTCTTATTCATCTGTGTATCCCCACTGCCTAATGGGGTTCCATGGTGGCTGTTCAATCAATGCTTACTGATTAATAAATGAATCAAATATAAACAACACTGCAAAAAGTTATGGATGTGAAAGTGGTAGTATAGATAATACACACTAGAGAAACTCAGAGAAGAAATCATTGTAGGCCAGGGTGGTCAAGGAAGGTTCTATGCAAGGAATAGGAAGGTTCCATGGAAGAATTTGACTTGACAGAGTTGGGATGGAATATAGAATGAATATGGGATTCCAATCACTTAAACTCTGTGATCCAAAAATTTAAATTTAAAAAATGTGGACAGTAAACCTATATAATATGAAAAGACTAGATGAGATAGCTATATAATTAGCATAGGCGTGACACACACAAAAGAATTTTCTTTTTTCTGTAAGTTATTTTCCTTTTACTGACCTGTATAGTTATCTCATTGGATTTGAAAGCTGTCCTGACAGTATTCTGAAGTTCATGGTATCATTTCCTTCACCAACTAAGATGCTTTGATCCCTCTCTAAGGACAAATGAGATAAGTAGGCATGGTAAGTACTTTCTATCTTCTATCCTTGAGCACATATAACCATGTTGGACATGGGAGACCTTTACTAGGTAATGCTTCTGCAATCTTACTTCCCCACCTCACAAACCTTTATTATTGGAAGAGACCTTGAAGATGATTTAATATATAATTTTCATTTTACATATTAAAAAAAAGTTTAGCCCACAGCAATTAAGTGATTTACTCAGCTAGTTAGTGGCAGAACTGTGAACTATACTTGAAGTCTTTTGACTTCTTACCCAGTGCTCTTTCTCACATATCAGGCTATTTCACATTTCCATGAATACTGACAACCCAGCTTTTTTGTGGGATTCAGAGATATCCAATTGTGACATCTGGTTTATCAAATGGCCAAGAGGATCCAGTGATTGATATAAATATAAGATATTCCTGTTAATTCATGATTCCTGACTTCTGCAATATTGGTTAATCTAGGTGACTTCTTGGTCCAGAAATGATTGTATCTGCAGCAAAATGACATTTTGTTATTTCCCAAGATATCACCTTTCAAGTTTGAATACATTGTTAACGTCTAATTTATTAGAATTTAATTTATTTATTTCGAAATAAAAGCATCACTTTTATTGACAAGTTTGGGACACAAATGGACTTCACAGAACAACAGAAATAAGAAGAAATAAGACAGTCATAAAACACCAGATTGTGTTGCTCTAACTGGTTTGGCTCAGTGGATAGAGCGTCGGCCTGCGGACTGAAGGGTCCCGGGTTCGATTCCGGGCAAGGGCATGTACCTTGGTTTCGGGCACATCCCCGGTGGGGAGTGTGCAGGAGGCAGCTGATCGATGTTTCTCTCTCATCGATGTTTCTAACTCTCTATCCCTCTCCCTTCCTCTCTGTAAAAAATCAATAAAATATATTTTTAAAAAAACCAAAAAAACAAAAAACAAAAAAACCCCACCAGATTGTAACATTGCAGCAGACAGGTCAATACTCTTCATCCTCATCCTCTCCCTCAGCACTATCTGCTCCAACTTCCTCATCCTTCTCAAGGGCAGCCATGTCCTCGTGGGCCTCAGAAAATTCTCCTTCCTTCATGCCCTCACCCACATACCAGTGAACAAAAGCACATATCTGTTACGGCCAAAGGTGATCCTGAGTGGGGGCGGGGGGGGGGGGAAAGGATTGAGAAAAGATAGACAAGAGAATGAAAGCTGGGTCTCGGTGGGACGCTGCTCCCTGATGAGGAGACAGCGCCAGCGCCCACCAGCCGTGTCTTTATTTTATAGCAGATGCCACGAGGCAAAGTAGGGGCGTGATCAAGTTGTTTACAGCATTCTCGTGAGTTTCAACCCTACTCAACTACATGCACCTGAACTCTAGCACAAGGCACGTGGGGCCACGTGTTTGGACCACAGGTTCAAGCTTACAGCTATAGCTGTTGGCTATAATTGTGCTGGGAGGGCCCTGCCCTCCAGCTGGGACTTGCACATGGCAATGAGAGGACCCTGTCCTTTCATTAGTCCGAGGCTTGAACCTGGCCAAAACACTGTAGCCGCGCCCCACACACATCATGTCAAACTTGTGGTCCAGGGAAGCTCAGGCCTCAGCAACAGTGTGGTGTTGCTCAGCATGCACACAGCTGGCTGTACTTTGGCCAGGTCTCCACCAGGTACCACAGTGGGAGGCTGGTAACAAATTATAACTTTTTAGCCAGTGGGGCACCAGTCTACACAGGATGGCATGCTCAGTGTGGATGGTGGCAATGGCAGCATTGACATCTTTAAGAATCACATCACCACAGCACAATTGACAAACCATGTATTTACTGTGGCGAGGGTCACACTTCAGCATCTGGTTGGATGGCTCAAAACATACATTAGTGATCTCTGCTACAGCAAGCTGTTCATGGTAGGCTTTCTCAGCAGAGATGACAGGGGCATATGTGCCCAGAGGGAAGTAGATGCAGAGATAGGGCACCAATTGGTCTGTAATTCGATCAGATCAACATCCAGGGCTCCATCAAACCTGAGGGAAGCAGTGATGGAGGACACAATCTGGGTAATAAGGCCGTTAAGGTTAGTGTAGGCTGGGCGCTCAATATCGAGGTTTCCATGAGAGATATTGTAGATGGCCTCATTGTCAACCATGAAGGCACAATGAGTGCTCCAGGGTGATGTGAGTGGTGAGGATGGAGTTGTAGGGCTCAACTACAGCTGTGGAGACCTGGGGGTGGGGGTCTGGGTAAATGGAGAACTACAGCTTGGACTTCTGGCTATAATCGACGGAGAGACATTCCATCAGTAGGGAGGTGAGCCCAGAACCAGTTACCCCACCAAAGCTGTAGAAAACCAAGAAGCCCTGAAGACCTGTCCACTGGTCAGCCAGTTTCTGAATTTGGTCCAAGATGAGGTCAATCATCTCCTTGCCAATAGTGTAGTTCCCATGGGCATAGTTATTGGCAGAATCTTCTTTGCCTGTGATGAGCTGCTCAGGATGGAAGAGTTGACGGCAGGTACCAGTGTGAACTTCATCAATGACTGTGGGTTCCAGGTCTACAAACACTGCTCTGGGCACATGCTTTCCAGTGCCTGTCTCACTGAAGAATGTGTTGAAGGAGTCATCTCTCCCACAATGGTCTTTTCACACTTGGCATCTGGCCATCAGGCTGGATGTTGTATTCCAGGCAACAGAATTCCCAGCAGGCATTGCTGATCTGGACACCAGCCTGGCTAACGTGGACAGACATACACTTATGCATAATTGAGACTTGTGGGGCTCCACGGGGCTAGAGGAGGCAAGAGGATGGTGACAAGGACCTCCCATGACAGGTTACCAAGGAGTCCAGGGGGGAAATCAACTATAATTTTAATTCTAAATTTCTATTAACTTTTTCTGAATTTAATTTCTATTATAAAATTAATTAAATATTAACAGTTTAAAAACATGTTTTGTTTTTTAAAAAATAATTTTTCCCGCCGAAACCAGTTTGGCTCAGTGGATGGAGTGTCGGCCTGCGGACTGAGGGGTCCCAGGTTCGATTCCGGTCAAGGGCATGTACCTGGGTTTCGGGCACATCCCCAGTAGGAGATGTGCAGGAGGCAGCTGATCGATGTTTCTCTCTCATCGATGTTTCTAACTCTCTGTCTCTCTCCCTTCCTCTCTGTAAAAAATCAATAAAATATATTTTAAAAAAAAATAATTTTTCCCAGTGTGACTTTGTACAGTGGCAGTATCGTAGCCAATGAGGTATATCTAAGGCGCGATTATTGCTAATTGAAAGAATTTTTACATGTTTATTGTCCATCTGTATTTCTTCCTTTATGTGACCGGAATCGAACCTGGGACCTTTCAGTCCGCAGGCCGACGCTCCATCCACTGAGCCAAACCGGTTTCGGCTGTCCATCTGTATTTCTTCCTTTATGAAGTATGTGTCCAAGTTTTTGTCTCTTTTTAAATTAGGCTTTTTTTTATTACTGAATAGGAGTTATTTGTATACAAGTCCTTTGTCTTATATGTGTACAGTGAATATTTTCTAGGCTAAGGTTTGCCTATTCATTTTTTCATCAGTGTCTTTTGAAAAATATAATTTTAGAAATTGGGGAAGGAAATAATTTCAAATTTATGGAAAATGGAAAAAATACATGTAGCACAAAAATTGTCTGTATTCCCTTTACCTATAATTAACTGATAACATTTTTACACATTTGCTTTATCATTTTCATGTCCTGTCTCTCTATACACATACACATGAATGTACAAACACTCAGTTTTTTTCTGAACAATTTGAGAATAAGTTGCAAACTTCATGGTCCTTTATCTCCAAATACTTCAGTGTGCATTTCCTAAGCATAAGGACATCTTATTTACCTTACCACATAATGTTGACCAACATCAGCAAATTTAGCATTGATATACTTTAATCTATTGTCCATTCTCCAATTTTGTTAATTGACCCAATAATGTCCATTATAGATTATTTTCCCCCTCTGTAGCACAGGATCCAGTCTAAGATCAGGCATTGCATTGGGTTTTCCTGTCTCTTTAGTCTACTTTAATCTTGAACATTTCCATAGACTTTGTGTTTTATGACATTGTGGATTTATCTATTTTATTTATCTATTTATCTTTATCCCTTTCCTAGGGTTATTACAGCTTCCTGCTCTGAAATCTTTTTTCGTTGTCACTTGAAATACGTTGTGTATTTTTTTCATTTTCTTTTTCATGTATAGATCCCTTTTTTAAAAAAATATATTTTTTTGTATTGATTTTTTACAGAGAGGAAGGGAGAGGGATAGAGAGTTAGAAACATCAATGAGAGAGAAACATCGATCAGCTGTCTCCTGCACACCCGCTACTGGGGATGTGCCCGCAACCAAGGTACATGCCCTTGACCGGAATC